GAGATGTTTTACTATATATTATAAATAAATATTATATTATAAAAATATAATATTTTTTAATATTACAGAGTAGAACTGTATAATTTTTCTCACTCCTAGCAATTGTCCTCCGTGCAGCAAAAACCAAAAGAAAGGAAGAATGCAAGTGGTACATGTTATCATGTTCAATGTCCCTGTTACCATGCTCAGTGTTAGAAATGTCAGCTGAGGTGTAAAGATCAGGAGTGTGTGTGTGTATGTGTGTGGTGTATGTGTGTGTGTGGTCCTGGCTTACTCTCCAGTTCTTCGTGGTTCTTTGTTTTTGTGACCTAACATCCCCACCCTACTCCATATCTTTTTTGACCTCAATATTGTTTTAAATTGAGGTATCCTTTTCACCAGTGAAACACACTGGTCTTTCACAAGCAGTTCGATGGGTTGATACTTGTGTGCATGTAACCTGTACCCATATAATAAGATCACTGCCACCACTCCAGAAAGACCTGTCATGCTCCTTTCCAGTCAGCACCACTCCTACCCCAAGGCAGTCACTGTCCTGATTTCTTTCATCACAGAGAAGTGTAGCCTGTTGGAACTCTTTGAATTAACGTAATCACACAAAATGTAAGATTTTGTGTCTGGCTTCTTTCACTCAGCATCATGTTTTTGAAGTTCATGTTGTTGACTACAATGATAACGGATTCTTTTTTATTATCTAGCATTATTTCATTTTGTGAATATACAAGGTTGTTTACATTTTGCTGTTGGTGGAAATTTGGGCTGTATACAGTTTGGGACTTAAGAAAACAGTGGCTGCGGACATTTTTGTATAAGTCCTTCAGTGGACACATGTTCTCTTTCCTCTTGGGTAAATACCCAAAAATAGAATTTCTGGGTCTTGGGGGTAAATATAGGTTTAACTTTATGGGAAACTGCCAGATCTATTACGAATGTTACAGTGATGCTATTATTTGATATGCCTACCAGCAATGGATTGCTCCATATTCTCAACATTTGCTAGTTTTAGTCCTTGTCATTTTAAGCCTAAAATGTCTCTATTTTAAATCTTACACCAAAGAGTTAATTTTAAATAAGCAAGCAAACGAATAAAAAAAAATACTCCTTATGCCAAAGATAAGCATACAAGATGAATCAAGTTCAGCATGAATGAATAAAAAAGATGAGATGGTATCAAATTTAATATCAACTTAAACAACTGTTCAAAAAGGCTACCAGTTGTAATTCAAATGCTACCTGTATTTATTATGCATCGATGCAGATTCATGTCCCCATGTTTTTGCTTATGCTGTTCCCTCTGCTCCCTCTGAATGTCTCTGCTTCTGCTTATCATGTTGATTCATCCTTGACCTTTAAAAGAGGTTTTGGAGCAGACTTCCCTAAAGCCCTTTCAATCCAGCGGGCTGGGAGTACCCCTTGTAGGCTTCTAATATACCCAAAGACTATCTTGATTACAGAGTTTATCACATTCTACCTATGTGTCTGTCTCCCACATCTGGTGACAAGTTCTTTGAAAAGGAGGAATTGTTTTTTATTTATCTTTGTATCAAGTGAGCATTACAGGTATTCAGTCAATGAAGTTCCTTGAGTCACTGAATATATTCTTAACAATACTGAATCACAGCCTAGGAAGAAATACCCTTTGGATAGCCATATGCATGGGAGTTTGGATTGGAAGAGATGGGGAGGAAGTGATAGCTGAAAGATTCTGAAAACCAGAGTTCAGATAATTTTGTCTTTTAAGGTGGGGGATAAGTAGGGAGATGACGGTCTTTACCAATAAATAACAGAGGCCCAAAGAGTAAGATGTTGGGTGGTCTGAATCACTCAAGATTAAAACAATTTTGAAAACAAAATGGCCACTAAATTCATTTAGTTCAAATCTCTCAAGTTATAATAGAGAAACTCAATACCAAATAGCAAAACATAGAATTATTGGAAACAAAGGGTTTGCCTTAAGCTGCTCCTCCTTTCTTATTTCCCTAGCTTCATTTTGTGTCTTCCTGGAATCTTCTCTATCCAACCTCACACCACCATCTCCCTAGCCCCCTGATTTGGGCCATGATGTTCCCCTCTCTCTTTCAAAATGTACCAGAACAGGTACCAATACTGCCAAGAGGGATAATCCAGTAAAATACTTTAAGCGAGGTAGTAATAATTCATTCAGCCTAGTGTATCTGCCAAGTTTTTTATTCTCTTGCATACTGGCTCAGCCCTACCATACATGAGCTCTGCTGAGACACTCACCATCCGGAAAGAATTAACGTCCTCCCAGACACTAATGACAACTAAATGGCAAGAAAATGACGAGAGTTTTGGGGCATAAAAATTCAAAGGGAACCTCCTACTTGCTTGTCAGCCTCTGGCATAGCTGGCTGATGAGTAGGTCATTCGCATGCAAAACTAGGAAAGAGAAACTAAAACCCATAGCAAGCAGATCCTACAAACGTCCAAGTCAGTGCAAAATGTCAAGGCTCTGGGGCCTGAGCATCTGGGTATCTGCCCCCAGTGCCCTCCTAAGGGCACCAGGAAAGCAGGATACCTAAAAAGCAACCAAGGTCTAGATTGGCCCTAAAGCTACCTTGTTAGGTAATAGATCATGTGTTACTTGTTTGGGGAGGAAACCCAACTGGAAAAGCCCAACTGAATCAGCTTAGGCTAGGAATCTTGGAGAAGGTAGCTCCGAGTAGAGCAGAGGATGTCAAAGCACCTGCCGAGTCCTCAGTTCACCCTTGAGGGGCACCACTAAGGCTCGATTACAGATCACACACACACACAACCAAGGACAGAGGTGCCGGCAGCCACCGTGGTTTTCCCATGCAGGCTGAGAAGCGCCAACTCCACCTGTATTGCAAGTCCCTGGGCAGATGGGAGCATCTGCTTTGGGCGCACTCTGTAGGGTCAAACAGATGTGGCTCCAAAGGTGAAAAGAACACATTACAAAATGCAGACTATGGTTTTATATATACGAACCCGAGCTGGGATGGAAAGAATGGAAAGCAGGCTGGAGCTTGATGGGTAGCTTCTGCTCTGCCTTCCGGGAAGACCTGAGCAGCCGACCTCAAGGAGCCTCTTGGTTTCCTTCTGAAGTGTCACACTGGCCCAGAAGCTGCTGTTGAGAGGAACGAGGCTCCCAATGGCAAACACGGGCTTCTGCCTGTGCCTTAGAGTGAGGCAAAACACCTGCTTCTGGTACTTCTTAAAACCCAATGTTCGAGCTCTTTTAAGGGCCTTTGGGTCATCAACCCTCAGTCTGCAATCATGGAAAGTATCCTCTTTCCCTCCTTACACACACATACACACACATGCACACCCCCTCGCCAGTCTTGCCTATAGCAGGGTTTCGGTTTCGTGTGGGGCACAAGATCCTAGCCTAACAGGGTTTCGGTGAGGATTTCAGAGGACCTAGCTCTTCTGATTGTAGCTGGGGACAGGCAAAGGACAGAGATTGGGGACCCAAGGCAGGCAGGAGGCAGGGAGCAGTTGGAGGGTTACTGAGGAGCTGGTGGAAGTTCCAAGTTAAGCCTGACCAGAGGGCACAAAACAAGGCAGTGACCGCCACAGAGCCTGAAGCACCAAGTGGCAGGTATAAGATGGTCCATGGTGTGCAGGAAGAAATATTAGAACCTATATTTATAGCCTACATATTTATGTTCTATAACATTATACTGTATCGCTTTTTACTTCTTTTTTCAGCATTTAGTATGTTTTATAACTTACATAGTACACTAGTTTAGTGGCGTATGGATACACTTTATAGAAATAAATTATGTCTGCATTGGGGCATGTGCTCAAAAACGGAGAGTAACAGGGAGTGTGATCACTAGCAGGGGATGCTGAGGGCAGCTGCTGGAAGAGTTTAGTTTCCTCTCCTCCACCTCCTAGTCTCTGAGTTGACATCTTATACATGCACAGACTGACCAGTTGCCCCTGAGATGCTCCCAAGCAGATTCCAGTCCCCGGGGCCCGGAGCTAGGATAAGTGTTTGTTATACAGAATGAACTAACACCATCCTGAGAACGGCCTTTGCTCTTTTGGTGGATATTCTACACAGAGATTCTCATGTACCCTAAAAAGCCTGTCACCAAAAGTACCATCAGACAGGAAATAAAGATTATGCATAAAACAAAACTGTGAGACAGCATAAACACCCACAGAAGAAATCACTTAACTGTAATAAAACCAGAAATCATCCTGGAGAAATGCAACCACGGGTTGAAGGAGCGAAATGAGTGAGATCAGAAAGGAGTGAAAGGCTAGATGTTTCTTTTTTAATAAGCCGGGCTACTGTCACTGGGGCCTCTTTTAAGAAAAATTTATTTTCAGTGGGTTGAGGTTTACACAAAACTGTGGGATTTCTTTGAAGCAATGTTTATCTTCTTGTGAACATTTAACTCCAGTGGCTAAACGTTGGGATTATTTCTATTTGACGTAAAAAGCAATGTATTACGATCTGTAAATTCATTCAATAGTAACTCAAGACCTCCTCCTACCTTTGTAGGAAACACTCTGAAGGTACTCTGTGACTTGGGAGGGAGTAAACGAGTTTAAAATCGTTAAGAAATCCAGATAGGTTTTTCCATAATCGCTTTGGTATGTAGTCTGCTTCTTTGTGCGTTCTTGATTCCTCACGTGGCTGCACAGCACAGCAGGGACTAGGGGGACACAGGGGAAGGAAAGACATGGAGGCTGTCACTGAGCAAAGAATTCCTGCCCTTATTTGCCAAATGCGCCCCCAACGGCCATGAGCCCCACTTGGAGCTTAATGAACAACCTTGAGGTACTGGAAAGCGAAGCACAGTAGGAGTAACTCTTCCCACGATTCAGGCTATGCAGAGCTGCTGTGACTCAGGACGGTTGCTGCTAGCAGTGGGGGTGACAGGGGCTGATGGCCAGAAACTCAAGTGTGACTACCATTCTCAGAAAAGTTCTCCCTGAAATCGACTCTTCTGCAGGTCAGCATGTTGGGATAGTAGCATTCACTACCTCCTTAGTAAACAAATGCCTTCATAGAAGCTTCTTTCCCTTTCGTACCATCTCCTGTGCAGACGTGGGCTGACACACTGAGGAGTCCCTCAGGGACCCAGGTGAGTGCGGATGAGTAGTGATGAAATGTCCATCCAGCACTCATTGCACATTCAGACTAATAAAGGTATCAGGTGCAAGCAAAACCTAAATCATTTATGTTTGATTCTGAGTATTGCTCATTTAATGTGGGTTCTGATAGTCATGGAATTATAATGACAAAAAAAAAAAAAGCAATGAAAACATGATGTGAGAACCTAATTTCTACAACATGCCTAATCTTTGTAAATCTTAAGGACACCTTAAATACTGCTTTTTGTTCCAGGTGTCCCCTTTACAGGGACCACCAGCCGGTGGGAGGAAGAGACTGGTGAGGGTACTTTGATGCTACATCCTGAGAAGAGTGTTTATAAGGTCTGGAAATGTTTTAAGAAGAGAACATGGAAGATATGTAGTAAGATTTTCATAGAATAATTTATACTAGTTAACCTCTGTAGGAAGAAGTAGAACCAAAGCCAAAGTTTATGCAAGAGAGTTTCCAGATATTGGGAACTTTCCAACAGTATCCAAAAATGAAAGAGTTGCCTTGGGGGGGGGCACTCCCCCAAAGAGTGATGACATCACCCCTTGGCAAGGACGGGATAGAGGGGATTCCCACAGAGTGTGAGGTGACTTCTAGGCTGTCTTCTAACCTCGAGATGCTAAGTTTCTATCCTGTGATTTTTGTCTGCAGCGCTACTTGATTCCAACTCCATGCCAGGAATAGATCACTATCTCAGACTGACACCAAATTATACTCTTAACCAGTAGCGTCGAGGTGGCTTGGCCATGGAACTTTTAAAAACTTTTTTGTTGAAAACAATAGGAATCAGGATCATAAAAGATCACTTGAATAGAATGGTTATCAAATTTGAAGATGCTTGATGGATATACCATATGGTTAAGCTTCCAGTGTATAATTGACAAGTCTAATGTGAGTCCTATCCAGTCTCTTTTTTGGTCATTTGATAGCAGCTAAGTCCTTCCTTTTGTTTTATAAAGGGGAAACGTCTGCCAATCCCAACAACTGCTTCCGCCCTCCCCCATTACCCCACCTTCCTC